AAGTCCGCAGACTGGCAGCCCAGCTCCCTGCAAGTGGCGGGTGCATATGTGCCTCAAGGCAGATGGCAGGGAAGGGACCAGGGTTGCATTGCCACAGCAAGGATTGGGCCCCGCATGGCTCCCCACCATCCACCCCAAGGCAGGCATACCAAGCAAAATGCCTTTGCATGCCACACTCTAGCATGCATGCCAGGAGTTACCTACCCCTGCACTAGGGCAATGGTTTTCAGTTGGTTTTGGACACATATGCCTTTATATGCTAACTACTTTGGATTGTATTCTTCTCCCATGTCTCTACACATCAGGAAGGACATCAATGCCAATGTCAATCAGAAGCTCCAGCTCCAAATTTTGATTGGTCAAGCTGCAGTGAGACTTCACTGCCATTGGTTCTTTGCATACCCACTGGCAAATGGGGATCCCCCACGGACACATACCCCTGTCTAAAACCCATTGCTCTAGACAACCCAAGGCCCATGGCATCAGGCCAACAGGCTCTCTGCCACAGCAGGAGCAGCAGTTCACCCCAGCCTGTGGGCCTCTGCCTCCCACCTGGAAAGGGAGCCTGCCCAGTGCTGCCTGTTCTAGCTGGGACCTCTCCTGAAACAAGCAACCAGTTACCAACTTGTGGCCACCATGAACACATGCTCAGAAGGAACGTCCCAACATCTCATCCATCCAAATCCAGGGAGTTCTTCTGGCTTCTCCCCCCTAATTTGGGCCTAATTTAAGCTCAGTACCTACAGCTGTGGTTCCCAACCTTTTTAAACTCAAATGTCCCCTAGTGAAGACTCCAAGCCTTCCTAGGAAAATGCCAGCTCTTCACTTTTATCTTTTTATTTTTGACAACCAAAAAATCCTAGAACAATTCTTCTAGGGCAAAGACCTTAGCAAGCCCCAGCAGGGCAGAAGGGCTGGACACGTTAGATTCCCATCGGAAATCTTTGGGTTTCTCTTATGAATCAGGTGCAAGTGTCTGCAGCCTGAACAGTGCTCATGTTGCAGGCATCCTTGAAAGGACTTCATGGCACCCATGGCTGAACACTGCTGACTCAGAGCCAAGAGCCTTTGTATCCTCTTCATCTTCCAGCCCCATCGCCTCTGAATGGAGTCCTGCAACCCCCCTTGTAAACCACAAAAGCCTACCCTGCTGTTCCTCTGCACCACTGGGGTCCCTAGCAGCCTGTGGCTGCCTCAGAGCACCTACCGGAGGTTGTCATCAGCCCCGCCCACCACCACCATGCTGTTCTCAGCACGGATCTTCTCCCGGAAATCCTCCATGGCCTCAACATTGCACTGCAGTGAGTTTTGGCCAATGACAAAAAGCACAGGTGTCTTCATGTCCAAGAGGGGGTCATCCACGTCCTAAAGGAGAAAGAAGAATTGACAGAAGAGAATGAATGGTCACTGGGCACAGGGGCAGGAAGGCTTGGGACCTTGGTGGGGTGAGGAAATACGATTAGCAGTGGCAGTGTTAACTCCATGGCTGCCAGTCACCTAGCCATCAAATTTTGGGGTTAAGATCCCCATGGGGGATGCCTTTGGGTAGCTGTAAGGTCGATATGAAGGGATTAACAACGCCAGATGTGAGTCATCCAACTTGTGGGTCCAGACCTGACCCAATGACTTAAACGAATTAGAGAGCCCTGTCCTGTATGACAGAGCCAAAAAGTAGCAGGGGGAAACACGTGCAGCTCCTCTGAAGTATGTAACTTAGGCCAGTGGAGACCCTAGCCCGTGATCAAGATGGTCTGTCTCACTGCCCTTCCCCCCAGAAGCCTTGGCATCAAAGGCGATGCAAAGTTGGGTAGCGTCCAACAGCACATGGCACTGTGACTCTAGGTGCTGGGGATTCTCCCGCCTACAACATATGTCCCCAAGCACAGATTTGGAACTGGCTGCCTATAATCTGTAGGGAACAGATGACGCAAAACCAGACTTGTTCCCCAAAGCCTGGGGGTTGGAGCAGATGACCCCAGAGGTTCCATCCAACCCCACGGTTCTACAACTGTGAGATTCAAAGGCACAATCTCCACGCCCTGCCTTGATATAGGACAGATCTGCTAATGAAGTTGCAGATCAGGCAACTGTGTAGGGAAGCACTGTTGCCTCACAGTCTCCACACTGCTGGCTCCAGAGCTGTTGCGGCCCCACCACACTGAATGCCAGGAGGTGCCAACATAAATAGAGCTTCTCAGCCCACCAGGAGGGGAAGAATCAAACTTCAGAGCTCTGCCACTTTCTCTGCAAGTTAACATGACCCAGGCACGTCCAAGGAGAGCAGCAGTGGTTCACTGGCTACAGAATCCCAGCCCCAGGGCCTTTCCCACTGTGACTGCCATGTTGCCCTTACCCCTCTGGGCCCTTCCACTGTCAGAAGTGGGAATCCAAGGCACACGATGGCAGTGACGTACTCTAGCACCGAGACCTGAAGAAAGAAGCAGGACAGATGTATAAGTGTGAGCCTGGGTTCCTGTCACACCATAGGGATAGCTTCTCTGGTGATGACTTCTAGCAAATCCATGGGGAAGAACTCAACTTGCTCAGTTTCCTGAGACCAGGAAGACAGAGGGTCAGAGGAAAAGCCCCATGGACCCTGGGCATACTGACAGCCAGCCAGCACCCTCCAGCACAGACTGGTGGTTGTATAGTCATGAAACCAGAGAAGTGCCACCAACAGAATAGAAATAACTTGGCATAAACAGGCACAGAAAAGGCAAGCAGAGACAATTCTTCTAGCACTGAGCCACTTCGCCTTGTCCATGTCCTGGCCCTCTCAGCAGCACAGGCTCACAGGACACCCATGGCGCCCAACCGTCTCCTCCCTAAAGCAGCTCCATCTTCACCTTCTCTATTCTGGGTTCCCCTCACATTTCGCTGCATGGGTTGGTGTGTCAGCCCCAACTGCCCAGGGCTGGGATGAGGAAGGCTGGAGGCATAGAAAATATGCCACAGGAAGCTTGCGGCTCTGAAGTCTCCTCAGGCAAACACTCAGGTAGGCCAACGGAGGTTCTCAGCCACAAGGACATCTTTAGTCTTGGAGCACATCAGTGAAGGAAATGTCAAGCCTCCTCACACTATTGCAAGTGGCTTGGGTCCATCTTAGGGTGGCCATGCCACACTCACACTCATGCCAGCCTGAGACACTTAGGAGACTGAGCCATGCTCGGTGGCTGATGAGGAGGTACAGAGCAGTGGTTTCCACTAGGATGCCAGGCAAAAGGGTACTCACATGACAGGCTACCAATGCTCCTGTATTCCACCCAATGAGGATGACCGGCTTGTGGGAGAAGTGACTGTGGATCTGGAAAAGAGAAATAAGGGCACAGGGTGGCAAGAGAAGGGCAGACCATAAGACTGCATGTGCCAGCAGCCCAGGACGCAGGTCTGGCTGGGGCCAACAGTCCTGGATTCAAAGCCCAGTTGAAGCCATTGCTCTTACCTCCACCACCTTGCCTCTCACTGCACCAATCATGTGCTCCAGACACTGCAGCACTCCCACCCCACTGCCATTGTTCAGGAGATGGGTGGCTATTGGGATCACCTGCAAGACAAGCAGGAGGGTGAAGACCAAGAGCACTTGCTCTCCCATGGAGCCAGCAATGGGTGCAGGCAAGGCCTGACACACACAACACAGTGGTGCCAGGATTTCCTCCCATTTCGCTCCTCAGGGAATGGAGATGGAGGGTCTCCTCCAACCAGCCATTGGCTTTTCCTCTTCAGCTCTGGTGTGGCCCAGGGTGCCCAAATGCCAGCTCTCCCTTTCTTCTGGCCTGGTCACACCCCACATAAGAACATCAGCAGGACCAGACTGGGTCAGGCCAATAGTGTATCCAGGCCAACAGCAGCAGAAATGGATGTTATACAGAGATAGCATCAAACCTGAGATCACTTAAGTGATCTATCCCCATTCATTACCCTTTGAGGGGGCAGCATCAAGGTCTACAAAATACTAAATGGCAAATAAAAATGTCAACAGGGATTTACTATTTAATATCTCTTACCATATAAGAACTAGGGATCACAACATAAAACTAGTAGGTCATTAAGTTTAAAACTATCACAAAGCAGTTCTTTTTCACACAGCACAGCATTCAAGGGTGGGACTTGTTGCTACCAGATGTGATAGAAGTAGAGAGTTTAGCCAGATTCACAAAGGGACTGAACACATTCTTGGAGGAAAGGGGCATCAGGAGCTATTAAGCTTAGGAGTTAATGATATGGCCTCTGAATCGGAACTTGCTAGACCCCAAATGCTGGAGGCTGCAAGTGAGAAAGGAACAGGGGAAAATCCCAGGTCACTCTCCCTTTCAGCACCTGCCCTCTGCTGCTGTGTGACACAGGAGCCTCGGTAGAATGGCCCTACGGTCTGACCAAGTAGATGGCAATTCTTATGTCATGAATTTCTCCAGTCCTTCGTTGAACCTGGCTCTGCTCTCTGCCTTCACCACTTCTGTGGCCATGAATTCCACTTGTTAATGACGTGTTACATAAAAGTCTTTTCTCTTGTTCACTTTAAACCTGTCACCTATTAATTTCAGCAGATGTCCCCTCATTCTAGTGCCCTGGGACTAAATGAGTTCCTTGTTCACTTGGTCCATGCCCTTCAGGAAGTTGTAGTCCTCTATTACATCCCCCCTAAGCTGTCTCCCTTTCCAAGCTGAAGAGTTCCGGCCTTGTTAGTCTTTCCTGGTCTGGCAACGGGTCCAGGACCCTTCTGATTCAGGTTGCCCCTCTCTGGACCTTTTCTAATTCTACTACCTTATTTTCTACCATATTCTCTTGCCTACAACATGCATCTTTCACCCCCAAAATATCAGCCCCCCCCCCCCCCCCCCCCAC